TTTTTACCATAATTGGGCGCAAAGAATTCTCCCATCGCAACAGCCGAGGCTGAAACAGATTCCATCAGTGCATATTTTAAAAGTACACGTGTAGATATTATAAAAAATGAATGTGTGACTAATTATAACTTCAGAAAAGCAAAAAAAAAAAAACACCAACCCAGAGAAAATGCCAGATCAAGACTTTGACATGTTCACTTCCAGTGTCACGTAATGAGATAAGGAAAAGCACCACAAGGGCTGAACTTAAGTGTCTCCGAGAATATCTGGTTCCATTCAATTCCTTAATGATATTTTAATGCATTTTGTTGCTTCATTTCCTTTCTAAAATTACACTCAACGCGCTGGCCGTCCATCCCTCACTGACGGATCCGAATTGCAAAAAGAAACCAACCCCGGCCAGAACTGGGGGACGTTTTCATGCCAATGCCATGCAACGGATCGTGGCCGCCCACGCGCGGGGCGCTACGTGCGCCGCTATTAATCACGCAGGGAGGCGTTATCGTTACCGTGAGGACACGGCACCATTTGTCAAACTGTTTGCTCTTGAGAAGCGTTACCGGGAGGGTCTCATACATACTACAGAGCGCTTCTTTGCAGAGATTTCTTTTTAATAACAGACCCTACGTTGTGAAGTTTTGAGATAAGTGCCAGGCTGTGCCACGTTACACGTGCAACAAATCGCCACTCCACGGGTTGGACGAGGGAACACTCAGCACCAATCAGTCTGGCTCCCAGTTCTGCTGACCACAGCAAAACAGCCCCAGTACACCCGCTCCCAACTTGCTCTTTATTTTCAGAACCCCAGACTGGTGGGGTGGGAAGGGCCCTCTGGAGCTCCCCCATCCCACCCCCCGCCAGAGCAGGGGCCCCTCCAGCAGTGGCACAGGACGGCGTCCAGGCGGGTTTGGGATGGCTCCAGAGGGGGAGACTCCCCCACCTCTCTGGGCAGCCTCTGCCACTGCTCTGCCGCCCTCACAGCAGAGAAGGCCCTCCTCAGGTGGAGATGGAACTGCCCATGGTCACCTTTGTGCCCGTTCCCTCTTGTCCTGTCACTGGGCACCGCTGGAAACAGACTGTTCCCATCCCCCCGGCACCTCCCTTGAAGGATTGATCAGCATTGATAAGATCCCCCTCAGTCTTCTCTTCTCCAGACTGAACAGCCCCACGTCCCTCAGCCTCTCCTCGTCAGAAAGACGCTCCAAACCCCTCACCACCTTTGTAGCCCTTTGCGGGACCGTCTCCAGCAGTTCCCTGTCCTAAAAGTTTAGCTTAGGGTATAATAACAAAACCAGTTTGAAAAGTAGTTTAGTTTTCAAAGTTTAGCTTAAGGTATAATAACAAGTGATCAGTACGTACGATGAAAGCGCATGAGATAACGCAGTATGTCTATGATTTGGCCGCAGTAGAAGCCCCCTCCTGCAGGAGAGCCGCTCCTCGCTCTCCGTCAGAGACGTGCCAGTCCCACCACCCGAGAGGACGCTTGGGAAGGAACACCCCGGGAGAGAAGACGGCGGCAGCCCCACAGCTCAGGTGCAGCACGGGAAGGACTGCGTCCCCGCACCCCGCAGAGGCGGCAGAGGGCCGGGTGCCGCGGCGGCGCTGCCGGGCTCAGCCTCGCGAGGAACCCCGCGCTTTCCCCCTCTGAAGAGTCTGGAACTGCTCTGCCTGTCCCCCTCGGCGAGCACTGTCTGCTCCCCTCCTCCCGGCCTGGGAAACGTGGGACGAGCCCAGCCCGGGGCGAGGAGGACAACAGCCATTTAGAAACATCTTCCCGAAGTTACGGGGAAACCGAAACAACCCGAAACCCCAAAGTGTGCAATTTTCTTTGAACCACAGCACAGAAGAAAATGTTCAAACGAATTGTTTTTAAAGCAGAGTGAAGTAGGTCACTTTGCAGACTTAAATCTCTGCACCTTCCTTTCTTTTTTTAGAAGAGGAGGACATTTCAATAAAATAAACAGACCTCCAAACGAGCTGAAGCACAAACGCTCCAGACTGTCAATGACACTTAAGGTCCTCATTGACCAAAAGACATCTGACATAGCCAGCTTTAAGCAAATCACCTTAAAAAGAGAAAAGGTAAACATTCTGAAGGCAGAATGAAGGAGCCCTGGGGGAAGCAATGCCTCTCCTCCTCCTCTTCCTCCTCTCCTCCTCGGCCACCCCCAACCTGTGCCGCAGCTCTGCCGGGGAGTGCTGACGAACCACCCCCGCGCAGCGGCGGATTATTCCCAGAAAACGGCCGCCCCGCGCGTGGGAGAGCAGCAAAGCGCCCCGTTCCCCCGGCAAGGTCGCCCACCCCAGAGGGCATCGACCCCCCCGGCTCCGGCGCTGCCCCCTTTGCCGGCTGCATTTCCACCACTCTCCTGCCAGGACAAGTGTCCCTCCCCCTCCCCCTTCCCCACTTTCCCAACTACGCAGTTTTCTGCTTGTTTTTTTTTCCTTTTAAAAAAAAAACAAAAAACCACAAACTTCTAAGTTGCATCTTACAAAAAAAAAAATATCTCTCCACGCTCTGAAATTTAGTCAGACAAAAAATACCTCATTATCTGAGAAGGCTCCATCCATCATCCTCCTGTCCTTCCCCCACACATTTCATGCTCGAGTTGGATACATTAAGTGCAGAGAAATACAACGTCTGCTGAGAAAAATGTTTTCCCGTGCCGTGCTGATGTTCGCAAGAGGCAGATCCGCCATGCCCTCGGTGGGACCGGGCAGGAGTTACGGGGAGAGAAGCTAGGAGCAGAGACTTGCGCAACCGGTCCGGAGCGATGCCTCTGCGGCTGCACCAGAAGCAGCAGCGCCCACGGGCGCAGGACGAGCAGCGAGTGCTTTGGAGGTGCGGCAGTTGACGTGCCCGGAAGGTAACACCATGGTCAGTGGGAGCGCACCCACAGCAGTGGGGAGGAGTCCCTTCCTCCGGCTGCAAACCCCCAAACCACGACAAAGCCACCACTGAGACCGTATCAGTTAGGCCTGGTTGCTGGAGCCTAAGCTCCCCAAGGCACCAAGCCCACGTCCACGGGAGCTCTGACGGAGATGCCCACCCGCAAAGACCAGAGGATCTTCCTCCTGCCCACGCTCTCCCCTTGGCCAACGAGGCCTCAGGTTGGAGCAGGAAAAGCTCAAGGGTAAAAGTTTGCTCTGCAACTGCCTTTTCTGCCCGAAGTTCAGGTCCAACAGCAGGTACGAAACGCAAACGTCTGGACGCATTCCAGCACACCAAGTCCCGAAGCCCCAGTTGCTGGGAGCCGCAAGGTTGTGATGCACGACATGTTCTTCTGCTGGTGCTCCTCTCAAGCCATCTGCTGCTGCCCACTGAAGGAACTGACTGGACTAGCGTGGGTCAAGGCCCCATATATACACGTAATTACTTTTAACAGGCTCAGAGTTTCATTCAGACCAGAACATAAACCCAAACCAGTCCGGAAGCCCCTCTCCTCCTCATCCCCGCTCCCTTCCGAGGAGGCTCCGCGCTAGCTCCATTCCAACAAGCAGCTCCGCAGCCCGACACAGATGGGCCGGCAGTGTCCTCCCTGTCAGCTGGGGGCTGCACGCGTCCCGTAGGACGGACAGACAACCACAGTTCATGTGCCTTGCCGTCGTTGCACAGGGAACCCCGAAAAGGCTGCCAACAAAAGCAGTCAGGAAGGAATTACTTGAGGAAGAACAGAAAAAATGTTACGTTTTTTGCAGAAACAGTGGCCCTCTCCTGTCCCCTCCTACCCCATCGAACGGCCGGGATTTCACAGGAACTTCTGAAAGGAAGCCTAAAGGTAATTCTGATGCTCTTTCAACCAAGGGGAAGAAACCCGGCAAGATTTCAATAGCTCCGCGTGATCGGGGAGATTGGATTTTATTTTTTCCCCGTTAAGTATTTGATCAAGCCTCACAAAGGTGCTAATGTATTATTAAAGCTAATGGAGCTCTACAAGAAATGTTAATGGACATTAAGTTTGCATAAATGAATTACACATTAGCACAGTCGCAAGAAATCTAGTATCTGCCAATTGAGGTAGTATCTGATCTTTCCTGTTTTCCTCATTACAGGAACATTACTTCCCGCTAGTTTCAGAGATACGAGAATTGTAACCAAGATGTTTGTAATGAAACTACATAATGAAGCAGATGAAATAAATTAATACAAAACTTCCTCTTCCCCTTTTAATGCAGTGTTATAGTTGAATTGAACCTACAAAAAGGAGCACTCTGAATGGACGTAGCGCTCCGGAGCTCGGAGGCGCCCCAGCCGTGCTGCGAGGACTGACTGACCGCGCTTTCGGGAGCCCTTCCCCGGGCAGAGGTGCGCGTACGCGGCAGCGCCGGCGTCTCCACCAGCTGACCGGCCGGCATGGCTGCGCTTGGGACCGCAGGTATTTCCAGGTACCTGCTCGTAAACCTTGTTAAGGTCACACACGGCACAGCAGTTCCTAAAGGAAGGGAAATGCATTATTAACACTGAACACGTTGGAGCGTTAGAGAAAATAGGTTGGCCTTAGTCTGCGGTGATGCTACGCGTTCCACATAATTCACGTTACTCTCATTTAGAAAACCAGTCGGTGCTGTATGGTCACAGCGCACAGTACCGAGTTTCTCCGGCCCAGAACCCAGCTTTTGCCAGGAAACTCGCCGTGGCGGCCAGTGGCGTCGGTGTGGCAGCAGAGAGGCACTGTTCGAAGAGGTTAAGTAGGTTGCTAGAAGAAAAGTACTCGGATTTAATCTGTTCTGACAATTATAAAGCCCGGCCAGGAACCTTTGACGGTGTACGTTCTATGTGCAGAAAGTTATTTCTTAAGAGAACAAAGGTATTTGTTGTATCACAGAAGGGGCAGGAAAAGTCGTGGCTTCAGCCACCAAGTGGTACCCAACACCTTGATTTCAGTTTTTAAATAACAGGATATAAACCTATGCTGTAATTTTATCACACAGCGAACAGTTCCTGAACTCTCAGGCGAGCAATTTTCCACGTTCAGAGAATGAAAAGTTCTGCTACTCACACATGACTTCCAGGTAGCGCTGTGTCTGCAAGTCCTTGACAGCAGGGTGATCCACCAGGCAGATGACAGGGACCCCGTCGTCCTCCCGTCCCACCTTCAGCACCAGCTGGCTGGTCACCGTGTACATGTCGGACCACTGCTCCACCTCCGACTTGCCTGCCGGGGAGAGCGGAGAGTGACCACCGAGGGAGGACCCCCGCACCCAGGGCAGCCCCCCCTCCCGGCCCCGCTCTGCGCTGAGGCGTAGGGTGGGGGGTCCGCCCGCGCGAAGCAGCGCACCTCTCCCTCCCGTTGCTGCCAATTAACGTCCACACTGCGGTACCGCGATGATTAACAATCCCCTTACACCGTCCCCAAATCCCCAAACTCCTAAATCGATGAGCTGCAAATCCCCTCCCCCTCCTGAATCAACAAATTAGCCAGAAAAGTGATTAAACAGATTAACTTAATTAAAAGTAGTATCGATAGGCTGGAGGCTTTCCGCAGCGCTCCGCTGGAAGGAGAGAAGAGCAGCGGTGGTTGGAGCCACGCGCAGCTCAGTGCTGGTGCCCGGAGGATGCCGCAACGCACCACATGGAAACGAGGAGGAAAAAAAGACGAGAGGGGAGAAAAAGGATTTTTCTGTAACTGAGCAAGCGCTTGCTGACAACACACCTCCGCTTCGTTTTCAGATACTCTTATCTGTGGCTTTTCATGTAAGAATTCACAATCAAAACGTTAAGAGCAACTTTCCTAGCAGAGGTCTTTCAAACCCAAAATATTTCGGTATGATATATTAAAGTGAGACAGAGGGCAGCTGCAGAAAGCCACAGCCATTGATACTTAGAGGAAAGGGGTTCTGACGGGGGGAGCTACGCTGTCCCGCTATTCACAACCCGCGACCAGGCGTTTCGGTTTCTCTGCTTCTGTTTCAATAAAAATCCGAAGAACCGGCAGGGTGAGCCGGTATTGCAAGCAGCTACTGCTCATCTCGGCAGTCTTCAGCGAGGGAGGAAAGCTGGGATGCCGCTGCCCGCACAAGGAGGCTCAGCCAAGGAGCCGGACAGGCCAGGCACGAAGGGTGGAACGCTACCGCCCTGCCGCCCGCCGGGACGGGGACGGAGCCCCGGAAGGGCATCACTGGAAGATGGGCGCACCACGCCGACGACAACCGGTGCCGGCAGTCAGCGGGGCACCACTTGGCGCGGCAGCAGGTCTGCCGTCCACCTCCCTCAGCATGCGCTCAGCGTGCGTCCTACTCGGGTGCTCGCAGGTGTCGGACTTAACGAGAGGATTTTCTCTTGCGCTTGTGGGGGGGTTGAAGTAACGAGTGTGGACTTCGGTAGAGAGCCCTTCAGCGTCTCAGACTGGGTAAAGCACAGAGGTGGTGTCAACCGAGCTCACATCTACGTGCAGACTTAAACTAACAGCACGTCACATGCAATCAGAGTCAGCGACTGGAATGTGCAAATACTGGGAGCAACCAGACTTCAGGGAGTCGGAGAAACCCATCTTATATGAATATTCAACTGAACACGGAGAAAACGCTCTATAAACAAGAGAGCGAGACGTGAAGGTGAACTGAAAATCTTTACAGCCCGAAGCGCGGATGATCCTACTCGTACCTAAACCGGGGCGGAAAGCTACACAAACCACCGCAGAAATACACTCCACGCGCAGCTCTGGGGCTCCTCGAGGTCACCTGCAGTTACAGCACGACTCCCGAGCACCGCGCTCGAGCCTGGCAGGTAGGCAGAGGACCAAATGGAGTTCAGTCCTTCTGTGTTAGAGAACAATCTGTCTGCCCACATACTCCTTTGTTCCTGAGCTGGCGTTTAAGGCAGCTCGCTCTACTTTTTTTTCTTTCTTTTTCTTTTCCCCCCCTCTTAAACTGGCAAGAGAGAACAAATACCCAGCGTTACATAAACCATTTCAGCTCCCTGCAAAAAGTGAGTGAGTGAGAGGACACATGTACCGGTTAGCTCCTTGTTGCCTTTGAACCATCTGATGGTGGTGGCTGGTCTGCTGGCCATGGCAGTGCAGTTCAGCTCAATCTCTTCTCCCTCAACGGCGACTTCTTTCTGGATATCAATTACCAAATTGCGTGGCGGGACTGCAATGAAGAGCACAACACAACGCATACGTGATGAAAGAAACATCGTTCGATCGCTACCGCGAGAGAACGCCTTCAGGAAAGGCCGACGAATCTAGTAGAGGAAACTATCCACCAGCATTTATTTGATCTTTCAATCGATCAAATCCTTTGATAGGAGGTTTCACAGTCATCAGAGGAAGCGCTTTCACTCTCCACCTAATAATCATCGTGGTTTCGCAAATTATTACTTATCAAATTTGTAACTTTCTGTTCTCTCTCCCAGGCAGACACCGTTCCAGGGAAGAGCTGGAGGCTTCTGCGCTACCGGGTTGTGCGTGTCGCTATTTAAAATACAGCTTGACTCCGTGCACATTTCTTGACTTCTTCTGACAAGGCGAGGAAACACAAAAGCTGACATTTGGAAGTGCATTACTTACCGTGCCTCTAACCTCGCAAGGCAATTTTTCTCTCCTGCTGTTGGGCTCCAAGCCTCACCGCGAGCAGTGGACGCGGGCCAGCAGACATCAAGCTCGTTTCAGGCGCTCGCAAAGCCACCGAGCGCGAGGCCAGAGTGGAATGCCATCGCCTCTGGAGCGACGCCGCGTGCCCCATCGCACCCCCGTACACCGAACACAAACCCAGCCCTGAGAGGGGAGCGCCGGCTCCGTGCGACCCACACCGGCAGCACAGGCGCTTCCAATTCGCCCTTCTCCCCAGACACCTCTCCTTCCAACAACAAATTCAGAAGACCGTACCCCACGAGAAATAACCCAGTGATACTCAGAAACAGGACAGAGCTTCCGGGGGATAACGGCCACTGCGGCGCAACCCGGAGATGAGACGGACGGGCTTAAGCATCACAACACGGGAACGAGGAGTGTCGTCGCCGTGAAAGCAGCCGTAGCCAGCGAGGCGAGACCAGACAAAAGGAACATCAAGAGCTCGTGCAGCACAGGGCTGCAGGTTCAGGAGGCCCCAGAACTTCCAAAGGAAACTCAACTTTGCTCTGCTCCATATGATTAAGCAAGTGCATAGTTCAAATGTGACTAACATGTTTCTGAGCTAATGAAGAACAAATATGTATAAATACCATCCAGATGATCAAATGGACTAATTAGTCACTTGTGGCTTTTCTCTAAAAAGAACAGAACGGGCTACATATTTGAGACTTTCACATGTTCCAATTAAGCACGAATAAATCTACATATCGTGCCACGGAAAACATTAAAGTACACGGGAGAGCAGGGGGAAGCACACTGCTGAAGAAAGCGAGCGCGAAGCTCTCGCCGAACAGCGACTGCAAAGAAGGATGCCGCGAAACTTCGCTCCGCTCTCGGAAGCGCGCATCACTAGAAGCAGAGCAGCAAAACTACTCTTTGATAATAACTAAGATATATCCAAGTCTGAGCGATGAGCACGGGGTCTTTGGTGGGGACCAGCCGCGTGCTGACACGGAGACCACTCCCCCACCTCGGATCATTTTTTCTTCTAATTAGGGAGTCAATGACAGGGAAGGCAGGGAAGATATGTTATCCCTGGTGCCACGGCAGCCCAGCGCTCCGTACCAACGCCAGCTAAGGTAAACACTCCCCTCCTCAGCCTTCTGACAAGAAACGTCCCTCTTCGCTGCCTGCGCGGTGGACTCCGGTTTGGCCCGAGCGAGCGATGAAGGTGAAGAGGAAAACCCGCTGCTCGGTGGACGTCGGGGCTGGCACGCACTGGCCGTGCTGCAAGACCTTCTCAAGAACAACTGAAGACAAAACACTTTTCCCCGATTTCTGAAGCAGGATTCACGTCCAAAAAAATAAACAAACAACTGCCTTTTGTCTCCCACTTGAAAGAGATGCGGTGCTGGCTTATAGGTGACTAAAGTAAGTACTATTATTTCAAAGACCTTCTTAGCATTGCTAGCAGTGAAATGAAATCCAACAAACTCTTTTTGCGTGCGTGTGATCAGAGGGAAGAGCTGGAAGAGAGCTTCCGACTCCTACGAATATCAGACAGCGCGCTAAAACTTTGAAGATGTTGATAAACACAATCGCTACAGCAGGACTGCTTATAAACATTATTTAAACAACGTATAAAAACCTAAGAACCAAATCTCATTAAATAAAAGGAGGAAGATTTAAACTAATCAGCCAGCGAGATCTTGCATTAAGTCACCCTCTGTGATTCAGGTTCTCCTATTTAAAGGGTCTTAAAGGCCGCTGCTAATCAGCGGGAACGGCGGTGGTAGCGGGAGCTGCTCGTGTGGCAACCGCCCCGGTCTCGCGGCTGCACGTCACCGCGGCGCAGCCCCGGGGAGCAAAGGGAAGGCAGGAGCTCGCCGGATCTCGGGGGGGAGGGGGCAGAATTAGCTCTGCTAACAGCCGTTCCTAAGCAAACGAGCAAACCGACGATGTCAAATGAGAGATCTCACGGTCTCTCACATGTGAAAGAAGTTTTCGCTAAAATTAATAGGAAGCTATCACTTTCCATTAGGGGAACGCAAGATTTCACTGAATATATACGTCAACTGACAAACACGCAAAAACTTACGCGTTTTCACAAGGGCAGGAGGCTCTCCAGCGATGCCGGTACTGATATCTGCCCTTAAGGAATCTCATCGATGGGCAAAGACGCTGTCAGTCGTCATTAAAATGTAATCTCTCAAATCCCCAAGTTTTGAAGAAAAGATTCGGTATGTGATCAGAGTAGTCTGATTACGGGAAACACACAATTCATAAACTGAACTGTTCTACCACGCTACAAAGCATTCATCCTTAATTTATTTTCCCTCGGCATATCGGATAATTATTGAAAGACATTTTCTACAGCTTTTACTTTCTGGCTGACTTCTTTCTCGCTTCACCAAACGAGACACAACCACTGCCGCTTATCTTCCCTTCTTCCTACCAAACGTGCCTTCGCTCGCCCTGGAGAGGACAGCCAGGAGCCGGGGAGGGCTCGTCACGCGCAGCTCCTGCTGCTCTGCCCAGCCTCGCGCCGCACAGACATTCCTGCCGGGCTCTTAGCAGGTCCGGACCTGCCTGAGAAGCCAAACGATTCACTCGGATGCTCTACAGATCAGTGACAGCACAAACAAGTAACCCCCGTGGGCAGTCTGCTAACGAAGGCTGCTGTGAAACCACAGAGGGCAGGAAAACCTCGCCGCCTCTCCGAGCGACCTGCCCAAGTAAAACAGAGGCTCGGAAGGGGAGAAGACCTCGTGCTTATACCCCTCCTTATCCTCTGAAGCCAAAAAAGGCCAGAGCCCAGGCCCGGGGGGGGCCGCGCCGCGCGCCCCCCCTGCCGCTCTGCCCAGCCTCGCGCCGCACAGACATTCCTGCCGGGCTCTTAGCAGGTCCAGACCTGCCTGAGAAGCCAAACGATTCACTCGGATGCTCTACAGAGCAGTGACAGCACAAACAAGTAACCCCCGTGGGCGGTCTGCTAACGAAGGCTGCTGTGAAACCACAGAGGGCAGGAAAACCTCGCCGCCTCTCCGAGCGACCTGCCCAAGTAAAACAGAGGCTCGGAAGGGGAGAAGACCTCGTGCTTATACCCCTCCTTATCCTCTGAAGCCAAAAAAGGCCAGAGAACAAAAAGACGACCCGCAAATCCCACCAAATACGACATAACCTACAAAGAGAGGCCGCGGGCGCGACCAGGGATGCCTGGCGAGGCTGGAAGGTGGGGCTGGAAGGTGGGGCTGGAAGATGGGGCTGGAAGGTGGGGCAGAAGCGACAGCACGCCACCAGACAGCCTGCGTGGCGCTTGCTGGCAGCCCTGGAAAATCCTGTGTCTGCACTCGCAGCTACTGAAGAGCCGCGCTGGTCTCCGGCAGGAGAGCAGCGGGCGTTCAGACCCGGGCAGCACCTTACAGCTGGAGAGAGCGGCTCTCCCTGGGCGGCTGAAGCTCTCCGAGCGCCGAGGGAGCCCCGGCCCGCCGACCCCACACGTCCAGGGACCACAAAGTTCACCGCCAGCACCGTTCGCTCCTTACCGAGCACTGTAATCGTGGTATAAATTTCCTGGGGGGGATCGGTGTAGAGCTGGCAGAAGTACCTTCCTTCATCAGAAATGGAGACGTTCGTCAAGGACACGCGGAGCTCGCTGTTGGAGAAGTTCACCAGCTGGAACCTGCTGTCCTTCAGCGCTGCGGAGCAAGCACACCCTTAGTGACCGCCATGGGAGATGCACCCTCCCCTCCCACCGCACAGCAAAGGCAAAGGTCCGTCAAAACACCCGCAGCATCTCCACAAGCACCCCACGGGTTCCTGTCTGCAGCCTCCAAACTGCTCCTCGCCTCTAAGTCTGGACGGAGGAAATATTTCTGTTCTCAGATCATTACAAAGAATCAACATAAGCAAATCAGCGGGCACAGCACCGCATCTTTGGACAGGGTTTTATTATCACATGGCTTCGGGTTGTGTAGTGCTTACTGGGAAAATACACTTCTAGAGGGACCCACTTCCCACTGCACGCAGTCGGTGGGCTAGGGACAGCGTGAGAGAGAAAAGAACTGGGAAAAATAGTTTAAAATCCCTTTCCTGACCAGTAATAGCAGCCCAAATTCTCTTCAAGAACGTGGAAATGGAGCGTTTGCAATCTTACCAGCGGAACACCAGGGCCTGGAAGAGTGGAGCGAGCCGCCCCGCACGCGCACACCGTTAGACCGCACCGTGCCGGGAAGGGAACGAGCTGCGCCGTGCGTCTCCGCAACGCGGGGCACAACGCGTCCCGTCCCCGCGGTGGCGTTAATGCGGACAATTTCAGGCGTTTGGTTGGAGGGAGCACGCTCTGTGGCAGTGTCACAACAGCAGACAAAGCCAGACACGTTCACTGGATACGGCAGTGATGGGAGGTTCTGTTTTGGTTATAAAGAAGCACAGATTGTCTCGAAATGTTCAGTCTTCAAACCAAACAGATTACCTCCGAGAACATTGCACTGTCTCGGTGTTGCCCTATTCAATTTGTTTGTGTCAGCTAAATATTTGGCACTCAATTGCAATTCACCCTGAATTACTACAATCAATTCCTACTGCAAAGTAAGCCGGTCTGGCTTTTAAAGGGGACCATCAAGGTTTCCATTAAGGAGAAAGATTATGATTGCCTGTCTCATCCACCCTCTAAAGAACTGCCTAAACTTTAAGTGTCTAGCGTTACGTTAAAAGAAGAGATCTCGGCAAACGCTTTCTCCCGAGTGCAAGCGAGGTGCGGGGAAAGTTATCATCACACAAGGGAGGATCAAACTTACGCCTGAAATCTCGGAAATAAATCGTTTGTCTGTTGGGATTCAGGAGCTGAATCACCGAGTCGTCGCTGTTCTTGACGCGGCAGCTGATGGTGGCGACGTCTCCCTCCACCACCGTCACGTCTTCAGTAACCAGATTCTGGCCATCACCTTAAAGAGAGAGCAAAGATCATGGAATCATAGAATAGATGAAGCAGCCGGAGCACAAATGACCTCCGCGGGCCCCGTTTGGCGATGAACAGCTCCACCACCACCGCAGGCTCGGCGCTCCTGCGAAACCTGTCCGGGGCACGACCCCCGGGCTGCTCTGCCAAAGCGCTCTTGGAGCTATAACCCACCAGCCGAAGTGATGGAAAACGCGTGTTTTCCGCAGGAGGGGCCTCGGGCAGGCAGCGGCGAGTCACCCACCGGCAGGGGGACAACGAAGCAGGACCCCGGCAGTAACCAAGCACACGTCCCCTGCCCAGCCACATCTGGGCTTTGCTGGGGCGGACAGTAATTCCGCCATTACCCGCACAACAAACGCGCCAAACAGCAACGCCAGCGAATACAAACACGGACCATCCCCCCCGACCTGCACTGCCCACCGGCACGTTGAAGAGAAGTCACTGGAAGGTAGCTCGGCGGGGGAATCCCGGGAGAAGCACCGCGCTGTCGGTAAAACGACCTCGGCACGGAGCACGCTTCTCAGGGCGCGGGGGCCACCGATCCCGGTACCGTCGCTCTGCTGCGCTTCACGGCGTGACCAAAGGCAGGGGACGAGGGAACGGTCTCGCTGGACACCACCCGCCCCTCCGCGCTTTGGTACTCGCCCCGGCCTCGGGGAGCAAGTGCCATGCGTGGAAACGGCGCAAATTCCCTTCCTCTCTCAAAAGATGAATTTTGTTAAATTACCTTGAAAGAACAATTCGCTCTAAGAAGCATTTATCCTTTGACTTGACCAGAGAGACGTTAGGGAACCAGTTTTTACTCACGCCGTGTAATCAGTAGGCGCTATTAATGTCCAGAGGCAGGAAAAAAAGAATTCGATGCAATTATGCTGTGGGAGCCTTGTAATCATTCACAGGTCATCACCTCGAAAACTCTCCTCCTAATGAATCGAATCATTCCATCACATGCACACCGAGAAATTTGCTTCACGTGGTAAAGAATGCAGAGGACTGGGACTGGAAAACAGCGCTTTGCATTTCAATTTTTCCATAACTCCCGAGCGTCCGTGGGGTGAGGAACGGAGCCGGAGGAGCGCGGAGCCCAGGCAGGAGCGGGACACGCCGCCCCGGGGCTCCAGCCAGGGGATCGCTAATTGCAGTCCCATTCCGTAACGACTTCGGTTTGCTTTCAGACCACACCGGCCTTACGGACGAGGAGGCAAAGCAAAGCGGGAGAAATTCGGAACCTTTGCCTGCCCGTTTGGCAGGCGAGGCAGAGGGACCCGGCCAAGGGTGGGGGGCAGGAGAAGCCCTCTGCTACCACCAGCGCGGGGAGCGGCAGGAGACGGGCCCGCTCCCGGGGCAGCCGGCAAAACCGCAGAACCGCGAGTTTCTGATGAAGGTTGCAAGCAGTAAATCTGGGCACGTTCTTCTTTCCTCTTGCACTCTCTCCATTTTTCTTTCTTTGTTTCTTTCCGATTTACGTTCAGTATTTGACATGCCTCGGAAATACGCGTTTGACAAAAAGTTTGCATCGTTTGGAAAAAGAGATTGATAAATTGTCAGACGTTGAGTTGACGTCTCGGCACATTTTTCTGCCCTCTCGGTATAAATTTAATTTCTCCAGATTGATGAACTTTAAACAGCAACAGGAAAAGTTGTTACCGAACAGAATAACACCCGTGCCAGACAAGAGCCCCCCAGGCCCATCGCAAGGGGCGCAAAGAGCCCGTCACAGATGTTTTCCTGGCTCCTGCTCCACTTCCCACAAGCTGACGGTGCTCGAAGCCCTCAGGACTGCAGATGAGCATCCAGCCATCCCACCACACTAGTAGCACCCCTCAGCATCGTGTCCTTCAACACCTCTAACCCCTGCAATATGCAAGTTTGTCAAGTAATATAACAGAATCATAGAATGGTTTGGATTGGAAGGGACCTTCAAAGGTCATCTAGTCCCCCCCTTGTCCTGGGCAGGGCCACCTCCCCCCAGCCCAGGTTGCTCAGAGCCCCGTCCA